ATTTCACTTTGTTTCTACTGCATTACCTCTGTTTACTTGTTTATAATTCAATATTATTGTTTAATGACAACAAATCTGGAACTTGGAATCATATTATCGATATTCACAATAGAAAATATTCAATAATGATATTTCTTCCACAATATCAAAGCTCGTATCATTTTTAGGAAAATGACCTGTAACGTAACCACGAACACGGATGGTGGGGATGCATGACCGTTACAATCCGAATCATTATTATCCGTTTTTAGCCGTCGCGTCGGAACAAAATGTATATATTTCTAAAGTAACATCTAGGTATCATTTTAACAGTTTACTTTCGAAAAATGACTGTTTTCAAAGTTGAATATTTGAAAGGGGGAACGTACGTTACCTCAAAATTAGGTTTCACTTGTGACTGGTTACTCGTAACTACTAACTTGTAATTGACTATATTTTGTCAAACAGGATGAGTATGAAGAGATAATACCATAAAAATGTATCTAGGTACTTATTGGACACTTGCATCCTCCTAGAATTGCGTAGGTACCGGAAGTCGACTCAGCTTAATCCTGAGCAGGTCACCTTGGAAATGGATGGTTGGGGACATCCATGGAAAGAGACTATAAATGAGTATACAAGAGGGAATACAATTCATTGATATTCAAATATATTTTCAAAATCTTGAGTACAATATTGTTCAAGTAAGAAAGGATAAAAATGATATCCGCAAGTAGAACGTTTCCACATATCCTCCCGATAGGATATTGGAGACGCTCAGCTGATGTTATTACCTGTTGGGCAGAGAGCTACCTCTCTGCCCAACAAAGCCTTATTACGTCTCGTGTTAACGGGGCTGATTATGGTAACTTCTAAGTGCCGTGACATCCCTCCTCAGCGGGTTTTTCGATAGGAAGAACTTGAAGAATTCATGAGACAGCCTTCTAATATGGTCAGTGGCCGACTCAACTTCTGCCAGAAATCTAATAGATCATCCAATGGAATGTATCTGTCACTATTCATACAAATACGGAGCACGTTATTCTGCATCATCTCGAGTCTTCGCAGAGAAGTTCTTTTGAGGTTGCAAAATACAGGACAAACGTGGTCTAATTACTTACTTCAAAATCAGTAACTTGTTATCAACACTAAGCTTCAAGTTACCTACAATGACCGAATATTATTGCGCCGAACCCGCTCGTTGGATCGCTAGCTCAAATGTTCCTGAAAATTAAGGCACTTATCCAGGATAACTCCCAGATATCGCAACTTCCCGAAGATCATCACATTCGTAAATAACATAGAACTATTTCCAAAATCCGTTACATATGAACACCGCTACATACGAAACGCCAATCCTGAATTAACAAAACTCATTCGACAAATTACGGTACCAATGAAATGTCGTCTAATAATCCCCAAAATTCAATTTTCAATTCAATTGTGGTTTGCCACATGACTTCAGAGTTATATATTCAATTTAGTGGAAAAAATTACTTAACTGATGTGAAGAATGCTGTTACTCTTTGATTTCCATAGCGAGTGTTAACCACAAGATGTCTGCCAATGATGTGATAATCAAAGTTTATGGCTCTAATTTCATTCTGGTGGTAAATCCATTAACTTGGTATATAGTGTCTTTGGGTTTGCACGCACTGCTTGTGCCTATCTATGGTGGTGCATTCACATACCGTGAAATAATAGAGAACGAGTTTGTCAAAATTATTCGTGAGAAATCAATAAAATCCAAATCAAAAAGCATCAATCAGAGAGGTTCTTATTTTATTCAACTAATTTCAACGAGCAGTATACTATCAATATTTGCATCTTCATTTGGATCAATCAAGGCAATTTAATATACAGGTTGTTTCAAATTCCATCCTCACCATTGGTATCTCGGAAACTATGAGAGATACGAAGATGGTTGAATCGGGGCAAAGTTGCGCATTTACCTGACTAACAACATGCCGTTGAGAAAGTTCTGAAATTTCGAGTATATCCGGAGATATCCGGAAAAAACAGAAATTTCGATAAATGGTTTTTATTTTTTGAAGGTCGGTAGCCAGGCGGTTCGACGTGAGTGCTTTGTTCACTCACTCGAATTGACTGCCGTGTTGGTCGGTGGTTCAAGCCCCAGTCTGAACGATCGATTTTCACTTGTTAGAAATCACACGTTAAAAGGCAAAACCTGGTTAATCCTTAGCTCGCACAAGTTTCGACTTCTGAGGGTTGTCGTTCGTAGAGGTGTGACAGCTAGTTAACGTGAAAACAGATTTAAAACAGATTTTTGAACAGATTCGAAAATAAATTGCACTTCCACATTGCCACTTTTTCCCTGCTACATAATGATGTTTTCAGATTTGCTTTCCGACTTTTCGTCTTCCAGCCACCATCATCAACTTTATTTTTTCTCATGAGCGCTACATTGGATTCTTTCTGTTTTGAATAGATGATATATCATAAGTTATCATTCTTTTTCGAAAAACTGTAGTTATTGAAAAAAAAATTGATTTTTATCATGATAGGCTTTAACTTTGATGTTCTTAAATTTGACTTTCAATTTGTTACACTCAATGATATTTTGTTGTGTATTGTTGAATTTTTGGCGAAAAATGGTTTTCACGAATGAAGAAAAAAGAGGTATGATACAAATGTATTACAAATACAATAGAAACAGTGTTAAGACATCGAGAATTTATTGAAACTTGTATCCCGAAAGACGACAACCAGAACCATGTTCAAATTATTGGATCAAAATCTTTGGTGACAGAATGGACCAGGAAACTAAAGAAAATTTGATAAATGAGGTATGTATGAAATAAGTTAGACATTGTGTCCTTTTCAATGAGAATTAATAATTTTCAGATAAACATGAATCCGAGGAAATCTACATGTCAAATTTCCTCCGAAATGAATATTTGTCATACAAGTGCTTGAATACATCTCAAAAAAGCGGTTTAACCCGCCATCGGTCGCGTTGTTAGATTTCATCTAACAATTTTACTTTATAGAACACACTGTATACTGTAGTAATTTTATGACTTTATATGCTCAGGTATGCCTTCTTAAAAATGTACCTGACCACCCTATTTATATTATTTCTTGAAGTGCAAGATCAGTTTTGAATAAATCGTGTTCATAGAAGGTACTGTTCAAATGTTAGCTAGTAACTAACACGCGACTGATTATATAGTAGGTAGAATATTTTATGTTGTGTTGAACAAAATCTAACTTCGCGACTAATTACGTTCGTTATTATTTTATCGAATTGTGAAAAAAACATTTTGTTTTTGTTACTTTATACATTGTATAATGTGGTACCGAAAAGAGCAAAAGCGGCTGCAAGCTGTGTGGGATGAAATATTGGAAGAAGAAGAAGCAGGAGTATCATATTGTCCTGATCTAGAGTCCAACGATGAAGATGCAGGTTTTAAGCCCAGTTTACACAACACCGATTCAAATCAATCAAATTCCTAAGATAATACAGATCAAGAATTATTGCAGGTCTGTTCTGCTGACTCAAGCGATTTAGTATACACAGGAAAAGACGGAACTAAATGGTTGGTCCACAGGACATTTCACTCTTCAATATCTTGTTACTTAGTCTCTATACATCGGAAGTGGTATTGTTAGATTTGCAATAATATCAATACACTCTGTAGTATCTACAGAGCTTAAGAATTTTATGGAACTGTATATGAGTTGAAGATGGGAATGATCAGAGTAATACTTATCTATTTATCTTTTGATTTTCATGGAATTATTTTACAGCAGTTTGACTGCTTTCTCAATATATTTATACATATAGAATATTTATTTGTAGGTTAACTGGCGGAAGGCGCTTTGCACTTGCGATGATTGCCTCAAAATGTATGAAAACGAAGACGTTGCTTTTTTACTGGATTCCGAAGACCCTGTTCATTTGTATGAAGAAAAAGGGAAAGCAAAAGCACAGGAGGTAGTAGAAACACATGACAGAGAATTCATGAATTCTATGAACAGAGTTCAGTTGGTAGACTGTATCGCCGGTTACAATGATCTGAAAGAACGCCTGGCCGAGTATTTGAAAAAATTTGCGGAAAATAAAAAAATCGTGCGAGAAGAAGATATTCGCGAGTTTTTCGAAGGAATGAATGCTCGTAAGAAGCAGCGAGTTGAAGTACCTAATTTTTGTCGTTGAAACCACTTTCAAGAAATGGTCTTGTTATTAGATCATTTATTTAACATCGTCGCAGAAATACACACACTTTCAATCTAGTTATCTTATTGTATATTTGTACCTATGTGCAGAGTGTGATGTCAATAAATATATTTTTGCAACTTATGGATTTTATTATTAAAAAGTTGAATAATTGATGGATAAATAAAATTAATGTATTGAGCTTTCTACGATGGTTTACGTTTGGAAAATAATACCTTTCCGTCCTGAAAACGTCATTTCTTTTGATGAACGCCAAAACGGCCAAAAGAGAAATGGTCAGATGTCATATTTGATAAAATTGAAAAGGGTATATTTCTAAGGAGGAATTAGCTTTTGGAAAAAAAGATTTTTGGCTTTCTGCTTCCCCATCTCCATACAAAAAATATGTATGAAAAAGAAGTAGAAACAAGTATGGGAAACTTCGGAAGTTTTCCAAATTTTTGTATGAAGATGGAGAAGTAGAAAGCCAACATTTTTTTCCTTCCCAGATTCATATTTGGTATTCCATATTATACATCCAGAATGTTGTTCGAAAATTCAGTTCAGGTTCATATTTCTGTCTCCAACCTCTCCCCTTAGCAATGTTAACCAAAAACAATACATTTCCCCAGTGTTGGTTGAAATACATTTAGGAATTGCACGAGAAAGGTAAGACCTCGTTGAACCTTAGCTCGTACAAGATTCGTCTTTTGACGTTTGTCGTTCGTAGGAGGTTCATTGAGTGATTACTAGTTGATTAACATGAGCAATGCTGGCATATAGTAAGTCTAGCAAGAACAGTTGAAACTACATTTGAGTAAAAATGATTTTATAGCTGATAGTCAACAAAGTGAGAAATGCTGTAATTTTTATATTTTGTACTGTGATCAAAAATATAAAGTTTGTCACAAAAACTCAAATAGTCTTTGCAAATTGTATGTACCTATCTATTCGTTTTTCTAAAACAGTGAGTTAGTGAAGGCGTGTATAATTTTTATTATCGATCAGTTGCATGTCCCATTAGCGACTCAATATAGTAAGGTAAGAATACGATGCTTTGACGACCTGAAAATAATATTCTATATGTTCTGAACTTTGATTTCCAATGATAACTTACGGCAAGAAATATACAGTGATCCATATTTCCGAACGGATCCGCTTTGAAAACCAACGGTTGTTGACAACGCATAAGTACGAACATGATGTCTTTCTTCAACTGTTTTTCGCAATGAGACCAGTCGGCGTTGTAGAGAGTAGTTCCCACAGCAAGACTCTACAAAACGTATTGAAGGTAAGTGCATATTAGCCAAATAAGGTTATTCAGAGTATATAAAAGATATACAGCCGGACGATAGTCGGTTGGTTAGCGTGAGTTGTTCGTTCTATTCATTCAGTCCAATATGTGAACGTTGGTTCCGTCTCAACTATGGAATTTTCAATCCGATCTGAGATAGGAATTGTACGTCAAAAGGCGAAACTTCGTTAATTCTCAGACTACGCAAACAAGTTTCGGCTTCTGAGGATTGTTGTTTTTGGAGAAGCGATAGCTGATTGAAATTGAAATTTTACATCAATTCCTGCTTCGATTGGGATGATAAATAACAAAATTAACTATAGTCACGCGATTCGCATTAACATGTGTCCAATTTTAACTTGTTTACCAAAAATCCACAAAAAAGTTTCAACGAAAAGTTTTTGTAAATTTTTAGCCCCATGTAAGATTTCAATTAAGTAGGATAATTTTGATTTTTGCCGATTTTTTTTTGTAAATTACACCACTGCACACTGGGACATAAAATGTTTATACTTTGAGAGGAATAGTGGATAGTAATAAAAACGATTTTCTCAAGTGGCTATGAAAAGCACATAGGAGAATAAATTGTTTTGATAACGCCGGTGCTAACTTTTTTCCAGCGAGCATCCTCTTGAGGTTTGAGAACAAGAACAAGTCGCTGGGGGCCAGATCTGGAGCATACGGTGGATGCGTAATTTTGGCATTGTTTTCATCGATTCATTACATGGTGTGTGTGTGTGATTTTATGAAACAGCACTTTCTTTTTCTCAACCCGCCATATCAGTCGCGTTGTTAGATCTTATCTAACAATTTTATTTCATAGAACACACTGTATACTGTAGTAATGTTATGACTTTATACGCTCAGGTATGCCTTCTTAGAAATGTACCTGACCACCCTATTTCTGTTACTTCTTGAAGTGCAAGACCAGTTTTGAATAAATCGTCTTTATAGAAGGTAGGTAGTGTTCAAATGTTAGCTAGTAACTAACACGCGACTGATTGAATAATAGAAAATTGTATATTGTCAGACAAAGTCTAACTTAACGACTAATTACGTTCGTTATTATTTTATCGAATTGTGAAAAAACATTTTGTTTTTGTGAATTTATACATTGTATAATGTGGTACAAAAAGAGCAAGAGCGGATGCAAACTGTGTGGGATGAAATGTTGGAAGAAGAAGAAGCAAGAGTATCATATGATCCTGATTTAGAGTCCAACGATGAAGATGCAGGCTCTGAGCACAATTTACACAACACCGATTCAGATCAATCAAATTCCAAAGATAATACAGATCAAGAATTATTGCAGGTCTGTTCTAGCGATTCAAGCGATTTAGTATACACAGGAAAACATATGGAACTAAATGGTTGGTCTAAGCAACCACATTCACGAAAAACTCCCCGCAAAAATTTAGTTACTCAGGTTCCTGGTGTGAAGCAAGTTTTTAAAAATTCACGAAAAATAATAGATTGATGGAAAATTTATTACCCAAACGAAATTATTGAGTATATAATTTTTCATGATGACTACGAAATAGACACAGAAACTGGCGATCAGATGAAACTTTCGGTTATAACATTTTATAACTTGACAAAAGGTGGAGTCGATGTTGTTGATAGAATGAAAACAGAATATTCGTGTACAAGAGTAAGCAATAGATGGCCGTTCACTGTATTCTGTGCATTGATCAATATTGCTGGAATAAACTCGCAAATAATATATTACAGCAACACTGACAGATCTAGCAAAAGCACCGACCAAACCCCTAATTCTGAAGCGATCTTGCCTGTAACTTTATCAATACCTCTGCAACAGAAAATAAAAAATGTTTTAGGCCAGCAGTCTTTTCGTAGACATACTGCATTAGTTCAACTGGAAGAGAGGGGCACGATGCCATTTTTGCGCAGTACCTACGCAAAAATAGGTCCTCGAAAAGGCAATGTACAACATGTGCAAAATCAATTTGCAATGAACACACGGCTGTTACTGTATTCACCTGTCCTCATTGTAACACCAAAGAAGACGATTGAGTCTAAAGTATTAAATTTCAAAATATTACTGGTAGGTACTTATTAAATAAGTCAATTTTTTTTCTTTAGAGGTTTGCTAATTAAAAGATTTTGCACTGTGTATTTGTTATTTTTAGTATGGGAGCAACATTCCTTTTTAATTTCCACTTAGAATGTTATTTTTTTATCATTAGTATTCAATCACGGTACATTAGATGAAATCTAACACACGACTGATGGCGGGTTGAAATGGGGCCGTTTTCCGTGATTTCGTCCGTCAAACGTTCCAATAACGCTATGTAATAGTCGTTGTTGATGAATTTTCCCTTTTCAAGATAGTCGATAAATGTTATACCATGCGCATCCCAAAATACAGATACCATAACCTTACCAGCCGACTGTTGCGTCTTTCAACGTTGGAGACGATACACCACGTGCAATTCACTATGATGATCGTTTTGATTCTGGTGGGTAACCATGTTTCATCCATTGTTACATATCGACGCATTAGGTAATTCGGGTTTTTTATGGTGGAACAGCTCCAAACACTGCTCAGAATCATCAATTCGTTGTTGTTTTTTGGGTAATTGAGAGCTCGCGCGTCACCAACTTTGACCGAACAGAGCTTTCGCATACCCAAATATTCATGTACGATATATGTCCAACACGTTCCTTTGTTATTTTTAGAGCCTCAGCTATCTCGATCAACTTCACTTTGAGGCCATCCCAAAATTATTTTGTGGATTTTTCATGCCTTTGTTGGTAACAGCCTTTTTAGGGCGTCCACTGCTTGCATCGTCCCCGGTGCTCATTTCACCTCGTTTAAACTTAGCAAACCACTTCTCAACGTTTGATTTTCCTGGTAATACGTCCGAATAATGTTTATCAAGCCAAGCCTGGCTTCAACAGTTTTTTTTTCGCCAAAAATCAATGTTTTCTTCACACATGAAAATCCTTTTCATCCATTTTCTTCAAACTAACAAAACTTGCTTCACTCACACAAACTAATAATCTGACAGCTGTGAAATGTCTACTACGTATCTTTTGAAGGTTATGGTTAACTGAAAATCATACGGATTCAATATTAGCAGCGCCGTTTGCGTGTTAGCCTACAAACTTTTCAGCCCACCTAATATGCTTTAGCAACGACTTCTTGGTTCTTTGACACAGCTTAAGTTATTTAAAAGTCGAGTTCTTGCATTTATCGGTGATTTTTGAAACAAATATGAGATTTTTCAAATCCAGACACATCGAATAGGACATCAATTCTCTATAATATGTGAGACGTGTAACCACCATTATTTCTTTCAGAATTTGCATTAAAAACCGATTCTTCTTCATTGTATACCTATACTTCTTCTACTTGACTTGTTATTCGGTGACCGTTTCTCTCATTTTTTGAAAGACAATCAACAGGTTTTTATTTTTAACGAACAAAATACCTTGATTTGGTTTATTTCAATTTTTTCTGGTATTATAGTCTTTTGTGATTTTTATTTTTGAAACATTTGGGGTGGGTATTTCACCCCGCGATTCAATAGCCCATCGAAAGTTTTGAAAATAATCAGGTGAACTATAAAGTAATAAAACTAATAACAAGTTATTTGTTAATACTAATGTCCATTTCCTTCAGCTTGGTGGCGACGATATCCCTTCGTCGCCAAGATTCATCGTATTGAGGATTATATTCTTTAATAGATTTGCTGTTCTCGCATGTCTCTAAGACTGATAAATGCTTTCAGTTTTTGTCAAATTCCTATCGAAGATTTATATGATTTTATTCGCTTAAGCTCCGATGAGCAGATACAAAGAATAAGATCGGATCTTGCTTTACTGTTGCCAATTTCTCAGTGTTTAGCTGCTTTTGCATTTCCATCTACAGTTCTTGATTTGACTGCAGACCCGTTCAAGTACCCCCATAAGTTGCTCTTCATTAAAACTGCTTCAACTTGAGGTTCCAGGTATCATTATTTTTATTTCGGGTTTTAATTCACATGAAATGTTACCGTTATAGCTCACCTCATCCTGAATTCGTTGTCCACTGTGGGAATCCATGAACAATCCAATAAACCATGCAAAAGATAGAATAAATGAAGAAATGTTTCTATCCTGTAAAAAAGTATGTCTTTATCATAAAACACAACTTTTGAAGTCTAAACAACTAGTTAAGTAAACATAATTAACAATATAAATTCATGTAACTTGTCTGGAAAGTGTGGTGGGTGAATGGTGGTTTTTATAAAATATTTCCAAATGCACCCCTTACAAAGTGACCACAATAACAGCAACATTCTTTGAAACCATTCACAATATGAAAAAAAACGAAGCAATCCTCTATTGATTTAGTTTTCAAATCATCTAAAAGAACAATTCTTTAGTCCAGTCTCAACTTCCTACACTATAGGTTGATGGACTGACACCTATCTGAAAGCAACTATTCCCCTGGGTAATACCACGAAGGGCTTTGGATTATATCCAACGGGTGTCAGTGCAGGATTCTTCACTGAACTTATTCCTGGACGAATTGCTCTTTAGATGATTTGATTCATAGCCAGTCTTCAAGTTTGTCCGCTGACTATATGTGAAAAGTTTTCTTTTCTTATTTTCATAAACTACACCTCACGATTTCATTATCTCCACAAACTTTACTTGAAAAAAATATCACATGTTTCGTTGACACAGTGATTTAAATACAGTATTCAAATCATTGTTGAATAAGCTACTGTGATATATTTTTCAAATAAAGTTTGTGGAGATCAAATCGGGAGGTGTAGTTTATGAAATAACTATGGATCTTCATCAAGTAACCGCCGAATCAATCGGAACATTCTTTCCTTATACGAGGAATTGGGCAAATTTCAAATTTCAAAGGTTGGTTACCTCGTTTACAGGCAGATGGGGCGATGACAAACCTGTTGTTTGTTGTCCGCTTCAGCCTAGTTCGAGGAATGATATTCAATAGATAGTAGCGTTTGAAAATCTTCCATTTAAGTGTTATTGTCAAATACTTTTTTAAATTTTGAGCTCGAAGAAGCGATAAGTTGTTAGGATGACCTGCAGGGTCAATCGTTTTTCTGATCTTTTTACTTGTTTCATTTCTCTTTAACTCATGGGTATAAATTACAGCATGAAAAAAGTATTGCCACTGAAATGCTCGATAAAATCAAAGATTTATTTGCAATTAGGGCTTGATTATTTTTTTGATGTGGCATCCCCCTCCTGTAGAGGCCCCGGAAGAGTAGCCCTGCCCACCCTCCTCTAAATCCGGCCCTGATAATGGTTGTGAATAACAATAGTATTTTGCTTGTGGGTGTGTGGGTTAAAATTACCTTCATATATGCGTAGACACCAAATCCCATAATGAATGAAGTCATGACAATGTGAGTAAACATGAATACGCTGTACAAGTCATTCAGCTTCTTTTCCAGACTGAAACGGGACAATACAGTTACATGAAGTGGATACTCTGAAAGTTTATTAGTCTAGTAGACCACAATTTTTTTTTAAATTTGATTTGCCAGTTAATGTTTCTACATATATCTATCTATATCTACATATTTCTATATATCTTTCAGATAATCGTAGATCTTCACAAGATAAACATATGGATAGCATAATTTGATAATTGACGGTATCAAAATGTTTGTATAGTTGATCAATACCAAGTTACAGTTTTTTCTTCATCAATATCGTATATGTAATAAATGTGTTTGTCTGTACGTTTGTGAGGCTTCTCTTGCATTACTTCTATTATTCTTTCTGTCGCTTCAACTTGTGAATCAAAATAATAACTTCCATCAAGCTTTCATAGAAAATTAATCACAGCCGGAATTCGTTTCGAATGATGATAATTTTCTGTTCGAACAAACTTCTTTCATATCTTGAAGAATGAACTATCGCATACCTGCTCCCATGAGTAAATTACTCTTACAAGGAATTACGTACAAAGACAAATATTTTTTCGAATGACCAGATTTGGACTGACAAGTAGATGGTTGAACCATGCACGTACTTGTAGTATAGTCGAAGTAACCTGTATTGTGCATAGTTAAAGGTGTCGGCTCTGTTAAAGGCCAAAAAAACCAATACAGAGAAATAAAGCCGCTACCAACTAGTCCACGTAGATTGAAGAATTGGCGGTTGTATTGGATAATTTTCACTAACCGAATTTTATGATTGGCTGAAGAGTCATGAAGTTAAATTTGAAGTTATGTTACGGTGACGAATAGATGTTTATACTCCTTATGTTGTCAATGTTCAGTTCAGAACTGATCGCGATTTGAGTGTTGAAATTCGATATTGGTGCAATTATAATTATCTGAAAATGTGGCACCCTTGGACTAGTACTAATAGTAATAACTATATCTCAAATTCGGTTTCGAGGGAAATAAACTATTACAAGCAACATTAGATTTGACTGAAATTCCTTTTTCGTAAAATAGTCAAAAACAAACCTTATGAACGCAAGACGCGATGTGATACGGGATTACCAAATCCTTTAGATGTTCATATAATAAAATCATTAAAAAAAACAATATACGACTGTTACAAAAGCAAGGAGATTCCTACAACTGAAACCATAAGGAAGAAATTGAATATTTCCGGTCAAAACGTGAGTTGCAGTGATAAAACTCTTCAGAATTGAATAAAGAAACTAGGATTTAGATTTAAAATAATAAACTAACGTCAAGCAGTTATGGAAAGCAGAAAAATAGTGGAATTGCGTAACAAATATTTAGAACAAATAACTAAATATATACAAGAACAACGGCAAATTTTATATTTGGGCGAAACTTGGTATGACTTTCACGACAAAGTTACGAAGGGGGGACTGATGGTTCGAAAATGCTTACGCCTAATATGACTGCAAATAAAGGATCGCGACTAATCATTGTGCATTGCGGGGGAAGTAAGGATGGGTTCCGAATTCTTTGAAATTATGTGGAAAAAACTTGAGGACTGCAATGTTGACTATCATAAGAACATAGAAGCTTATATTTTCGAGGAATTGTTTGAAAACACACTGATCCCAAATTTGGATGCGAATAGTGTATTAGTTTTTGACAATGCTTCCTATCATTCGCGACATCTCATCAAAGTACCGAATAAAAATTCGAGGAAAGATGAAATACAAAGTTTTTTAATGGATATCAATTTGTATTTTGAAGATTACTAGGTACACCAAAAACCAACTACTTGAAGTTTTACAGACAAAAACATTTGAAAAAGTGTATGAGATTATTGCTGAAAAGTATGGACACACCATACTGAGACTTCCCCCTACTTTTGTGTTTTCAATCCCATTAAGTTAATTTGGGGAAATCATCAGGCGTAAATTTTTTTTTCCAAAATTTGATAAAATTTGATAATAATTAAGAAAGACGTATTTAATATTACCGAAGAAGACTGGCAGAAAAAGATTAAAAAAGTAATTTTAGTTGAAAAAGACTATATCGGGATGGGACACTTCCATATTAATGATGGAAATAAATTCATTATCGATTTAAATGACGACAGTGATAGTGAAACAGAGAATATGGAAGAGGAATTATCAGAAGCTTTCGAAGAAAATTAGTGAAGTGTTCTTGAAGCGATCGATTGTTTATACCTTTTTCAAACTATGCCTATTTTACAGATCAACGACAGATATTGCGAAAATTATTATTTTATTTTTGATTCTATTGAAGATACAATTCTGCAACTTCCCAAGTCCATCAATTTTCATTCATTTGAATAATACATTTTTGTAATGAATTGTTTCGTTAAGTTACTCCAGCTTCAGATCCAATCAAAATAATTCTTGATATAACGTTCATTACATGTGATGCACTGTTTAGAACCTTTGGTATAGTAATAATTATTACTGGAGTTTTTTCCCAACACCAAACCGTTATTTTGACATCTCGACACGTGTTTCGATCACCAAGTGATCATCTTCAAGAGGAAAAAATTCCAGTAATATTCATAACGTTTATTCACGAAACCGCTTTCGATTAAGCTGGTTTGTTCTACAATATTCTGATGGAATTTACTTGAAAATATTGAAAATTTTTTTTTCAGTAGATACTTTTTCTTGGTCAAATTTCCATCAATTTTCATTAGAGTGAAGATAATTTCTCGTAGCTTGTATATACGGATTTGAATAATTAATTTTATATAGACTAATTCAACTTCTATTTTCAATTTCTCACAACCAAGATACTTATCATCTGTTACTTGAATACATATTTTCCTCTGGTTTCATAAATTATAGCAATTTTCATGTTAACTCAGTAAATTGTTAACGTGGAAGTTAACTTTCTTTTTGACAGTACACAGTTTATATTACAGGAGCTTTGGCGTCCCAGGTCTGTCTTTGGTAAAGCCGCAGTTAATTTCTCTGAAAATCACACTTACAAGAATGGATGCTTCTTATGTTCTGTACCAATGTATTGCCCTTCACCTTAGTCGTTAGATGCCAAAGTCCATATCACCCCGTATGCTGTAGAGTAGGGAGGGTGAGTGTAAGCCCACGCACTTAGGCCACATGTGACCCATTGTACATCCTCCTGAAGAGTTGTCCTCCTAGGTCATCGTCCATCCTGTCCTTTCCAGAAGGTGGACAGGTGGCTGGGAGACATCTCCTTTATATCGGCAGGTGTAAGCCAAGACTCGCCGAACACACACTCTCTTATTGACGATAACTCCGGGCACTCCCATAGGGCATGCCTGACAGTTTCATCTTCCTGTTCACACATCCTGAATCAAGGTGTGTCCACTAGCCCCATATTATGGAGGTGTTTCCTTAATTGACAGTGGCTAGTCAGAAATCCTACTGTTAAGCGTATATTTTTCCTGGCCATCGCCAGATATTTCTTCGGCGCCAGCTTCCTGACAAGATTGCATCCTTTGATTCCATCCCATCTCTTTAGGGATTGAGCATGGATGTAACATTTGGCTAGTTCCGCAATTGTCGAAGTCATCAGGCCGTAAGTGCCATTGGGTCCTAAAATTCTTAGTTCCTTTCATGGATATCGGCTACTTACAAGTTGTCTACTTCTAGGTCAGAGAGAATTCAAGGCTAGGGAGTTGAAGGAGGTTCAGATCTCCTTCCAAGGAATCTCAAGGGATGATGATGAAAGAATCAGAAATTACGTTGGAGCTTTGGTAACAGAATCTAACACCAGCCAAAAATTTTTTTGGTGGTTGATAGCTGGTGGAATTGCCCAACTATACTTACCCCAAAACAGCGATATGATTCCTAACGGCGAAGTTAAACTTTTGTCTTCTCTCCTTGGGATCTAATTCCTTTATAGCTTCATCGAACAGATATGCAACGTGACGAATCCTTACCAAAATGTGCTCTGTGGTTTCCAAAAAAATCCAAGCTCCTTGCCCAGCAACCATATAAATATAATGAACACCAAAAAGTTGAATGATTAAGTAGATTTGCTTAACGGGAAAATAGTCGATATTGAATGGCATCCACGTATACGAGAAGAGGCCGCAAACTTCGTGGAGGCCTTTCATTTCGTTTTCCGATCTGCATTGCTTGCCTTTGAATATATTTGAGCCCAGCAGGATGGTCATCATTAACGATTCCAAGTAGCAGTAATGATATTTGGAGTATTTGCCGAATTTCTGGTTTATTTCATCAAAATCGGCGGGCTTGCCCAACTCTTCGAATTCTGAGAAAAAGAGATATAGCTCTACTACAGTACTCATTTTTGCGATGTAGTAACAAATCATTCCATATGATGCGGTCATTGATAATATGTAAGTAAGGTCCAGTTCTAGGTGATTGTAGGAGTCATCTGTGAAATGAAATTAAATATTCATAGATTAAAAAGGTTCACATATCACACAATGTATTAAAACTTCTCGTAAAAATAAGGCGAACGCTTGAATCTAGATACAGAAAACAAATTGACCTAACACTTTTCCTGTGAGGTTAACGTGAATTTCTCAATAGGATATGAATCGGCGTAAAATGATTTCGTAGTTCATATAAGTTCAGGTTGGAGAAAAGAGTAGTTACAAGAGCTGAAAAAGTGTATAGAGCAAAAATCAGCCCCTTCATATGAATCTGAGTCCAATCCTCGAAAAAAGACATTTTGTGACTCTTGTTTGCACCATCACGAGCCCAGGGGGCCCGGCATCGGGGAACTCAGAATACCTCTGCCGGGTGAGATGTCACCTGTGAAGGTAACAGTTCCTCAAGGTCACTAACGGAACCTTCGAGATACAGGGCGCCCTCTCGTTGAAGAAAGCTTTGCCATGGTAACGCAGAGCTCTTCCGTTATGTACCTTCTTTCCCTACCTATTCGTGGAGCCTTTTATGGACTAAGAAGTAATTAAACATTAGTCTACAGAGAAGATGAACGTCATTGGATCAAAAGCAAGAGCTTCTCAGTTCTTCAACTTGATCCTGTTAACAAACCTTAAAGCATAGAAAATGACTTATCGTCTTCTCACAAGCCGGTTTTCTTATGAGTTAGCCTTGCACAAAATTCTCCAGCAACAGAAGCAGAATCTGTATGAACCAAGGAAACAAACTCTTCTAGGAGGAGCTGACTCACAGATACTTTCATATGAAAAGGTTTCCGTGATATAAATTGGGAATCCTATACCACGAACTGTTGATAAACTAAAAACTGACGAATCAACTGGAATCTCTTCAGTATGCCATTATGTCTACACTGTGAAGGATATCGCAGAGCTGCATATTTCGGCCATGTTCGTTACAGAATACCACGTCCCTACTAGACTGAGTAGAATATACCACAGTCTATAACCTTGGGGTGGATTATTCTTCACAAGGAAATTCAGGTCATGATAGCAGATCACATACCCTGTACGTGTTGGACCAAATTAGATATTGATCATTTGGCACTTTTCACTCTTGCCAACTAACCTGAAAGATCATTCAACAAATAGAGAAATCGACTTCATTTAAGAGCCGGATTCATTTGATAGAGTTTAAATAGACGTTTGTCACAATAAAGCCTCCCTTTGGACTTACCCACTTTCTACTAGACAAGCAACATACTGCTTATTGTCAGTGATAATATAGAATATACAATTAACTCTGAGGGTGAAAAGTGACATGCAATTATAATCACGAGTTCACAAGTACTAATATGACATGAATTGAATTGTAAGGCACTATTACTCAAGCCATTGTATCAGCCATTGTTTGTAGCTTAGAGTTTTTAGTTGACCAATCTCAGTAGATTCAGAAATAGCAACTTCATTTAATCGGGGAATGCGTTGCCAACTGACAATTTTTATAATTATTAGCCGCTGTAACAAACACGACTGATGGAAGGTCTCGGTTTTGTGGATAATCAATTTAAATATAGCATAACACAATGGAATAACTTAAGAAAATGTTGGAATGAATGCAACAGAAATAGTTTAGAATATTAATATTATATTAGGATCATCTACTAATGACTCCAACTTGCTTAGTGGGACATAGGGGAGATATGCTCGAGATGGCATACTGGCTGAGACGGCATAACACGTGTTTTTTCTAAATCTATTTGAAATTTGGCGCTGTTCTGACCGAAAACTATCGTCAATGCTCGAGCATTTGGCAACAGTGTGCAAAAACCATGCGCCAGATTCGTTTTGGAGGCATTAGGCTAGTCAGTTGATGTTTGCCTCATAAAAGTTTTTATGAACTGATAAGAAGTTGCCTCATTATTGATTGTTATTTGAAATTAAGGTAAGTCCCAATACGTATTTATGTTCTTTGGTGGCTCAATTAGTGTATCCTATATTATAGTGTCGTTAAAACAAATCTACTAAAATATAGGTTTGAAAAAGGATCTTCCTCTATTTGAGATGGCATACTATTCGTGTGGACGAGATGGCAAGGGTATGCCTTCTCATACAAGTATGTAAGCATCAATACAATCATATTTATTTTGTTAATTTGATGGCTTCTTTCCAAACATAATTATTTACTATTACAGTGATGGGTCGGTACGAGAGAANAACAAAAAAGAATGGGATGGCTAATGGCATCCAAAAAAATACAATGTTCCTTTTTGAAAATTATATTATACGCAAAAGTGGCATAGTGCTGTTTTGCTTCCCGCCACACTGTACTACCCATTGGGGGCAGCCTCTGGACGTGAGTTTTTATTCGGCTTTTCGTTCATACTATAATCAAGAGCTCACCACATGGCTGAAGAATCACCCAGGCCGGACTGTAACACATTTCCAAGTTGCAGAGATTTTCAGCCCAGCATATAAGAAAGCCCCTTTAATGTCAATGTCTTTCCAGACTGAATGTTTTGCCCTGCCGATGTTACTGATTTACCTAATGAGGAAAGTATCCAGCAAGAACGGACGGAAGAAGTTGTTTCCATTACTCCAGGACCATCAGGTATAATGATTAATAAGGATGATTTTGATGAAAATAGAGAAGATGGAAGTATTTCTGTGGCAGAAATATCACCATTACCTAAAGCGTCAGTGTCACAAAGAAAAAATGTGGAGTTATTAATACCACCCCAGAAATTGACTTAGCCAAGAAACTAGTTGTTGACAAAAAAGCGCAAGCACTAAGGAAATCCATCCGAGCTGCAGATAAGGTCTTAATACATGAAGAAGACTCTGAAAAGGATAGTAGCGATTCGGAGGATGATGTTGCATGTATATTTTGTAACGAATTATATTCCCGTTTCCGTACGGGAGAAACATGGCTACGATGTCAGATTTGTTTGAAATGGACCGAGACCGAATGTGCTGGCGTATCTAAAGCAACAAAAGTATTTTTCTACACCCGTACTCTAACAATACACTTATATGACCATAATCCGTTTCATAATGATATCCATTATGATACAGATTTTTTATAACGATACAGATTATCAACCAATAGAAACCCATAATTATAATTAGGTATAGAAAAAAAGTATGCCATCTCAGGCATATCTCCCCTATGTCTTTGAAAGTGTCACAGTCCTGGTGTTTTTCAAAACTGTTTTTGTTGGACTTGAGTGGCGCGTACCTATATATAATTTAGTCTAAAAGATGATGGGGATGCTTCCAAGGCAATTGGATATGATTCAATATCTTCATGGTACGTATTTCCTGTTCTCATGTTAGCTATCTGGTGAATCCTGAGAACACCAGTTGTCGATTCTTTCATTTCCAACGTGTTATTGGTTCGATGATCGTTTCATATGACAAGTACATAGTTATTTGATTTGAATATCACGATTTCCCAAACTTTTTTTTGACATATCAAGATTGCTCCCGTAGTTTTGGAGATGATGTGGATGTGATTGTTACATGTCTCTTGGTCGATAATCACATTCAAGTGCTTCACTTCTTCGGAATCAACAGAAGACCCAATTCACGATTATCATAGATGAACGACCCCCCAAATATATTTGATAAACATTGTTTCAGTCTTCTACCGATCCCATAGTTGGCCCCTTCGTGATGGTAGAATCAATACTGTTCAGCAAAGTCAAACTATAGTAATAATATCTGAGAATTCAAAACTTCTGGTAATGAGAAGCACTTGTGAGAGTAGAATAAAAGACTTGAAAGACAACATATTCAATAAGGATACCTAATTGATAGGTATTAGATATTGTTTGCGTTGGACAAATTGGTACTGACCTTTTATAGCTTTGATCAAATGCGTTGAACTTCCAATCAAAGTCAATGAACTCAACAAAGCCATCAGCGCAAACTTTATGAAAAACTTCTTTCCAGGCTTTAAAATCTCATCTGCCTCTGGAAATACACCGTAGAATCGAAACAATTTTAAAGATGTATGCATACAAATGATTTCACGATTTGCAGATTTTCCCTGGCTTTCCTTCATGATTATCAGACGAATTATGAATCAATTTTGAAGTGGAAACTTGGATTTGAGTTTCTTCATATTCTTATCAAATTGCATGTTTTGGTTGAAAGTTTTATTTCGAAATTGGATCGATTATAAATGATCAGTGGTGTTCGAACTCAATATATTTGTGACACGGTTGTTTGGTGAGAAAAATATTTTTCGCCACTTGTGAAATCGCAATGTTGACTATTCAATTCAAATCAATTCGTTTATTACCTTTCTACCATAAAAAAATGTAAGGTTCGTCAATACACGAATAGAAAAAAATATTTTAGACTAATTAATATAGTTTACTGTATGATTTTCACTATAAAGGGTTTTACAAAAACCGCGACACGTGTTTCAC